GCCCCCAGTCTGATTTAGTGTTTACATCTCCTTTGTGCCCACAGAGAAGTCATCTGCTAATGTGGATTTAAGATAGGGTATAGTCAGGGAGCCACACACATTGCATTAGCCGGTACTCAGTCCAGCCTTGCCTGGGAATTAGAGGTTATGGCATTCACAGCGGTTTTCTCTGCCTGTTGGCTTATTTCTAACTCTTGTTAGAGTTTGGCAGTGTCCTGAGAGGAGAATGGAGTTCAGAGCTGGTGCAAAAGCAAGATTTCAAACCATATTCTTGTACTTTGCAGCTTGCCTTCCTTTTGGCTTGATTTGCCTTTTTTTTTTTTTTTTTTAATGGCTTGGCTGATAAGCTGGGCCATCTTTTGTCTTTCTAAGCAGACCTCTCGGTATACAGTGCAGATGGTATTCGGATTTTTTTTCCATATTTTTAATGTTTATCTTTTGAGAGAGAGAGCGGGGGAGGGGCAGAGAGAGAGAGACACAGAATTCGAAGCAGGCTCCGGGCTCCGAGCTGTCAGCACAGAGCCCGATGTGGGGCACGAACCCACGCATGGTGAGATCAGGACCTGAGCCAAAGTTGGACGCTTAACCAACTAAGCCACCCAGGCGCCCCCCTCTTTTTGTTTTTTAAATTTTAATGTTTATTTTTTGAGAGAGAGATAGAGTGTGAGCGGAGGAAGGGCAGAGAGAGAGAGGGAGACACAGAATATGAAGCAATGGATCCGTTGTGAGTGTAAATTGTCTGATGTTACTCAATGATATCTTATTTTTAAAAATGTTCCAGAAGAACAAAATCAGTAAATTCATAGTCCCCACCTGTCCCTGCCACATTCCCTAAGTCTTTGGTCTTGTGGCTAAGGGCCTTTGCCTTTCCTTTCCCACCTCAAGGCCTCTAGGAGCCTTGACCTGTTAAAGCGGCTGGGGGAGGGATGTGGACTTCCTGCTGGCTTCCTCCTCTAAGCAACCAGTGACCTTGGGTGTGTCTTTGAACCTCCCTGAGGGCTAGTTGACCTTCTTGGATTGTTAACCTTCTTGGAGCTAACTCTTCAAGGGACAACTGTCCAATGAATTGCACATGGCCCGTCTACATGGGGGATGTTTTAAAGCCATTCGCCCAGCCAGGCCAGGTGGATCCGGAAGAGATTCGGTGGAAATGACATTCCTCATTTGACTCATTCATCCCAGTCCATGGTCAGCCCTCAGTCTTGTAAGAGGCTCAGAAGCCTGGTTTGTCTGCATGTGGAGGGGGGCCCCCTCTCCAAGGTGGACCCTTACAACCAGTTCTAAGAGTCTGAGAGCAACATCAGAGTTGTAATGTATTGGGAATGACAGAGTGACGGAGTGACAGAGTGAGGGCCTGACATCTGAATGGGAGAGGCTGATGAGTGGACGTCCCCGTGGCGCCAGATGGAGACAGCCGGAGGCAAGGGTGCATCGTGGGGCTGGACTGAGGCTCAGCAGCCAGTGATTCCGCCTGCCTCTCTTACCACGTCCGGGCTGCCAGCCTTTCAGAAGCAGGCCCCTCTCCCCACCCTGCTTGCTATCAAGTGTGACCCGGGGCTGCCAGCAGCTACTCTTTCTCTTTAAAGCACAGGTTGTAAATCAGTGGTCTTCGGGTAGGATTCAACTCAAGGTCATTTTCTGTTTGGCTCACACATTTTTTAAAAAAATGGAATTAGGTCCCAATATTTAAAAGTCAAGAGATTTCAAATAAATATCTGCATTTCCAGCTTCTCCTAAAAACCCACAAGTCCATGAAGACTGCATCTGCATTCCCAGATGGCTGCCTGGCTCCCTTTGCTGTGTATCTATCTGCAGGCGTAGGGGGTTGATGGCCCAGTTTAACTATCCGCAGGCTATCTCACTTCCTCACTCCTGAGTCCCTGGGGCTGCCTCATCCATCAGAGCCCCCCCCCCCCCCCCCCCCCCGCCCCGAACCTACATCCACTTTCTAAAGTGTAATGATCTTAAGAAAACACACACCACAGATCACGATGAAAGACTGGTTTTTTTAAAATTTATTTATTTATTTATTTAGAGTGAGAATCCCAAGCAGGCTCTGTGCTGTCAGTGTAGAACCCTATGCAGGGCTTCATCTCAAAACCTCTCACATGAGATCCTGACCTGAGCCAAACCAAACATGGAACACTTAACCAACTGAGCCACCCAGGTGCCCTGAAAGACTTTAATTTTTAAAAAGAAATTGTAATTCCTTAAAGGCATGTTGTCTTAGCCAGTGATCACATAAAATATTGCATACAAAATACTGGGATTCCATTTCTTTTTTTTTTTTATTGTTTTAATGTTTATTTACTTTGGAGACAGAGAGAGAGAGACAGAGCACAAGCTGGGGAGGAGCAGAGAGCGAGGGAGACACAGAATTGGAAGCAGGCTCCAGGCTCCAAGCTGTCAGCACAGAGCCCAACACAGGGCTCAAACTCACCAACTGCAAGATCATGACCCAAGCCGAAGTTGGAAGCTTAGCCGACTGAGCCACCCAGGTGTCCCTGGGATTCCATTTCTGAAGAGCTCAGAACGGTACCCAACAAACCACAAGAGACTCTTACTGGCAGGGAACAAACTCTGGGTTGATGGAGGGAGGTGGGTGGGGGATGGGTATTAAGGAGGACACTTGTGATGGGCACTGTGTTGTATGTCAGTGATGAATCACTGACTTCTACTCCTGAAACCAATTATGCACTGTACGTATGTTAGCTAAAACTTAAATTTAAAAAAAGGGAAAATATGATAAACAGGCATTTGAAAATGTGTGGCTTATAAAAGTTTTGGGGCTGTGGAGGAGTGTGCTGAATGCCAGATCCCTTGAGGCCCAGGAACACTAAGGATCATGGGATCTCCTTCTGCCTTAAAAGTCACAGGAATCTCAGTGGGGGGAGAGTGGGCTGGTGCTAAGCACCAGCTGTGTGCCTGTGTACCAGTCACTGCACCAGCTCTGACTCACATCGTGGATCAGGGGCACTCTGGGACCCCCTCCAAACCCGCACCGTCTGCCTGCCTGCCTTCCCTGTGGGCAGTCTGTGTCTGTCAGAAGCAGGTAACTCACGCAGGGCTCGTGAGGTGCCTCCAGTTGTGAGAGGGCTTCCAGAAGCCCATGAATCACCGTGATGTTGGGCAAAAGGGCAAAACGTGTCCATGTGATTTTGGGGGAAGGGGTGGGGAGTCATAGCTTTCATTAGATTTTCAAAGGATTCTGACCCAAAGAACCACTCACATCCTTGGGACTATAGTAGTCCGTGTCAGGGTTCTGCCTCAGAGATGTCCTCCAAGCTCGCAAGGGAGCATCACGGTCTGTCCCATGAAGCAAGGGAGGCAGCAGACTGGGCCCCAGTTGTCCATTGAGGATGGCCAACGATGCTGATGTGTTGCTTTTAATTTATACGATGTGCAGGTTTCCAACAATTATGTTTTATTTAAATATTCCACCCTTTCATTCAGGATTCAGGATGTCACAGAGCGCCAAAGCAACCTCCGGAGAAGGAGGCTGAAACCAAGCACACGTTCTCTGGGATTCTCGAAGGGCAGGTAAGGCTGAGGGGGCTTTCTTCTACTGCCCTGAGCAATGGCCCCAGCACCACCCACCTCCACTCCAATCCCTTTCTCTTCTCTTGTCTGTGAGGGAAGGTTCCCAGAGAATCTTCCGTCCTGTGAGGAAGAGTGGAGAGGAACACTGCTGCCTCTGGTTGGGGGAAAAGGCACTGCCCGAGCTCCCGTTGCCCTGACAGAGCCTAGACTAAACATACCAAACCCATGGGTTCACAGGTATGGAGGCCAGAAGTCTGAAATAAACCATGGCGCAGTGGGGCCAAGCTTCCCATGAAACGTGTAGGGAAGAGCCCCTCTTGGCCTCTCCCAGTCTGGTGTCAGCCATCAATCCTTGGCAGTCCTTGGTTCCCAGCTGTGACTCAGTCTCTGCCTGTCTTGACTGAGGGTTCTCCCCATGTGGCAGTGACCTAATTTCCCACTTCTTCCAAGAACATCAGCCATATTGGAGGTGGGCCCACCCCAGTGACCTCATCTTAACCTGGTCACATCTGCAAAGACCCTATTTCCAAGTCAGGTTGCATTCGCAGGTACCAGGTTTAGGATTTGAACACGTGTTTTGTGGGGGGAGGGGGAGACACAGTTCAACCACAACAGGCACATCACCTCAGAAGGCCTTGCCACCTTGACCCCAGGTGTTGCCACTTGCCTAAACCCATTCCTTCTCCTGGGTTCTGGGGTGGCAGATGCATCCCTCCCTCCTGCCATGATAACTGAGCATCTCCCCCTTGGTACACATTCTGAAGTGGAAATTTTTTCTCCAGCATCTCAGTCCTGGAGGAAGTGAGTTCCTCTTCTGAGACTGGGATGGGTGAGTAGGAAGTGTCTGTGTTGGGGGTGGGGGGTAGAGTTTCTCTGCGTGTGCGTGTGTGAGTCTGTGGGTATGATGGTGTGTGTGTGTTTGGCGGGGATGTGTGAAGGGTGCGTGTAAGGGAGGCGCAGGAGGCAGGAAGGAAGAGGAGGCCAGAGCCTCCTTGGTGAAGGCAGAGGTGATACAGGCAGAGTGGTATCATCCTGTAACAAGGGTGGGCAGCACGCTCGTGACAAATATGGGAATATTACACCTTTGGTCTCAGCCCCATAAAATAGAATATTAGTTAGGGTATTGACTCTGTTACTTTAACAGGAACCAAAATAGCAATGGCCTAGGGAAGGTCTGAGTCAGTTTCTCTTTCCTATAATGACTGAGCTGGTGGTGGGTGACTATGAAGGTAGAGAAACCCTGCTCCATGACGAAATTGCCCAGCGACCCAGACTTGCCCCTCTGCCATCTGTGAGGATGCTGTCCTTTTCTTTTTTTAAAAAAATTTTTAATGTTTATTTTAGAGAGAGAGAGACAGAGAGTGAGCAGGGGAGGGAGAGAGAGGGAGACACAGATCGGAAGCAGGCTCCAGGCTCTGAGATGTCAGCACAGAGCCCGACGTAGGGCTTGAACCCACGAACAATGAGATCATGACCTGAGCTGAAGTCGGACGCTTAACCAACTGAGCCACCCAGGCGCCCCAGTGCTGTCCTTTTCCAGAGTCAAAGCTGGTTCACTACCTCATGGTAATGAACGTGGACATGGGTCCCAGCCATGGGGAAGAAGGGAAAGGAAGTGGAGGACACAGCTTTTCCTTTTCTAGAATCACTTCCACTTCTACTGGCCAAAACTTCATCCCATGACCTTGCTCGCTGCAAGGGAGTCTGGGAAGTACAGCTCTTATTCTCAGAGGCTATGATCTCTGGGATTCTGCTAAAACTAACAAGGGAAGTTCAGGTCCTGGGGAACAGCTGGAGGTCCCGTACAAAAGGAATGTGACTTTAGAGAAATGGGGTCATGAATCTACTCCTCACCCCTTACAACAGCAAAAACCCCAGTTATATCCATACAGTAAAGAATATAAAAGGTATATGATTAGAAAGATCGGGTTGTCAAATGGGATTTGTCCAGCTTTAGCCAACTGCAGAGTCACGACCAAGGTTTTATCTCGGGAAGGTGTGTGTTGGGTCGCTCCACGGCCAGCTGGTTTTCGATGACATAACATGCCTTGTAGCTCTCCAGGACCCGGGCCCGGAGGTACGCCCTGTCCCTGTCCTGCCAGGTGTCCGACTCGATGTACACGTTGAACGGGTCGTGGGAGTGCTCCAGCTTCTTGGAGCGGATGTAACTCAGCATGATGCCCAGGGTGAAGAAGCCGAAGAAGCCGAGCACCATGAGGATGTAGAGCGCCTCCAACTGGCTGTCGTCGCTGCCAGGCGACCTGCGGGCCAGGCCCGACATGTTGCCGCCCTGGTGCGCTGTCCCCTGCCACGGCGTGGTCAGAAAGGGTGTCATGGCCGTGCTGTTGGGCAGAATCATGCTGGGCTTCACGTTTCCACTGCTGGAGCTCCAACTTCCTGAGGAAGCTTTCTAAGGGAAAAGTGCAAAGTGAAATCAGAAAGCATGTACAGGCCCAAACCCACACACAGGTGCATACATGCGCACACATTTTTCGGAATCTCAGGGAGAGGGGCGCCTTAACATACCCCTCAGTCCATGGCATGGGGTGCCTTGAATCGGCGCAACGCCTCCCTCGCTTGATCAATTGGCCACTTGATTCCCTCTTATTTCCACTCACCCCCTATCTTCGAGGCGACCACCAGGAGTTCCTCTACTGTACACATTGTGTGGTGTGTGTGTGTTTGAGTTCATGTGCTATGGACCGAATTGGCGTCTCCCAGTTTATGAGGCCCTTACCCCCAACGTGACCGCACCAGGAGACTCGGTCTTCAGGAAGTAATCAAGGTCATAGGGTGAGGCCCTAACCTGATAGGACTATGGCGTTATGATAAGAGAGAAATAAGGACGCTATGAGAAGGCAACTGCCTGCCGGCCAGGAAGAAAGCTCTCACTAGGAACCAAACCCTCCAGAAACCTTGATCTTGGACTTACAGCCTCCCGAGCTGTGAGAAAATGTATGTCTGTAGTTTCAGTGCCCACTGTGGGATCTTGTTATGGCGGCCGGAGCTAAGACTCACATAAGTGGTATTGGGGTACATATCTGCCCCTCTTTCCTCTTTCTCTCCCCACTGTGACTTTATGGCCATTCAGGTTGTGATGTGTGTATGCACTTCTTTCTTTCTTTTTTTTAATGTTTTTTTTTTTTTTTTAATTTATTTCTGAGAGAGAGAGAGACAGAGTGAGCCGGGGAAGGTCAGAGAGAGAGGGAGACACAGAATCTGAAACAGGATCCAAGCTCTGAGCTAGCTCTCAGCACAGAGCCCAACATGGAGATCAAACCCAGGAACTGTGAGATCATGACCTGAGCCTAAGTCAGACACTTAACCTACTGAGCCACCCAGGTGCCCTGTTTAATGTTTATTTTTGAGAGAGAGACAGAGTGTGAGCAGGGGTGGGGCAGAGAGAGAGGGCGACACAGAATTGGAAGCAGGCTCCAGACTCTGGGCTAGTTGTCAACACAGAGCCCAATGAGGGGCTTGAACCCACGAACCGTGAGATCATGACCTGAGCTGAAGTTGGACACTCAACCGACTGAGCCACCCAGGCGCCCCTGTACTCCTTTACTTCTGACTGTTGCATGGTACCCAAGGCACACCCCCACTTCTTTTCTCTGCCTGCTCCGCCAGAACTGGATGCTGCTGTGCCCCCTAGCTCCATAAACAAAGGGGCAACAAACAAACATCCTTGTCCTCCTATGGATCTGGAAAAATCCCACAGTTGGCATATCTGGTGCTTGGTGGTTCGTACCAGTCAGACTGCTGTGCTCTCAGACGTCCTCAGAGCAAGGGGCGGTCTGTTCCAGCATGGAACACTATTTGGATGGAAAGCTTGCCTCTGGATTTGACCGAGAGCTCCCTTCTCAAGGGCCAGTGTTCCAGCTTGTGCTGTGCTGGTCTCCTCCCTGCCCACTGGCTTCTGCTGAGTGACTGGCACGGGCCATGTAGAAAGGGACAGTGTCCCCATCATTTTAATCTGGATGTCACTATCCCAGAAAACCCATATAACTGGCCTGGGGCTTGTGAAAGCTCTTTCCAAGTAGCTCTGGAATTCCGGAAGGGGGTCCACAGGTTCTGACACCCCATCTTATGGTCACTGATAAACTGATCAGGTTTTATTCGTATCTTTGAGAAGATGCTGCCCTCTGCCCCCAGCTCCTGGTGGGAGATAAAATATTCAGAGCCAACTGGATGAGGTCGCACTTGAAACTCAGCCCACCTGGGCCTCCTAAGAGCTGCCCAGACTCCAGTGAGGCACTCATTTCTCGGGGCCTTCAAAGCACTTGAGGACAATGTACACTCGAGGCGCCTTGGGGTGGCTGTTGTAACTAAGGTTGGCGGTTTGGGACCACGGTTTCTGGTCGGAAACACTGTGGAAAGAGAAATTCCAATGCACAAGGTGGGGTCTGGGGGGTCGGCCTCTCCCAGCTATGATGGGGACTGTGACATCACATATCGTCTTGCCTAGGACACTTGTCAACCTAGAGCTACTTTTTAGGATTGGCTTAATTTCGAAACTTCTGAGTCCGGCCCTAGGGGAAGAGGCTTCACCTGCCCGAGGCCCCACTCCCTCCACTGACCCCTGAGATGTCAGTGTGCCCCAGAATTCTGTTGCTGGCCCTCCTTTCTTCCCACTCTGCTCACTTCCTGTCTGGGTACATCTGCCCCTTCTGGTTCACCCACGTGGCCACGACCCCACGTGCCCTTCTGAGCACCGGGGCCAGGCGTCCAATGACCTGCCAGGGAGTTAGTTACCTTCTGCCATCCCCATGCCCCTCCACGGCCCTCACCGCTCCTGCTCCATGCCTCGGTGAGCCGAGTGGCCGTGTACCCACCCCAAAACCCGTCGTCCCGGCTCAAAGGCCCCACCAAGCTCCTTCCAACCTTCGGGGTGAAACGCTCCATTTTCAGCATAGGTACCGAGCCCAAATGCGAGGGCTCTGGCTTCCTTCTCTTGTTCTCATTGCCCAGACGCCGCGCTCTGGCCCAGATGGCCGAGCCCTGTACCCATCACCTCCTCCCTGGACATCTCCAGTGTAGGCAGCCCCTCCTTCCTGGCCCGTGAAACTCCTAAGTGAATCCTAGTCATGCTTCTTAGTCCAGTTCAACCTTCTCTGCTGGATCCCAGGCCCTCGAAGGCTCTGTGCTCCCTGCTGATTTCACCCCGGTCATCATCTCTGGCCCCCACCTTGTCCCCTGCAGCCTCCCTGGCCTGCTGCCTGGCACACAGCGGCTCGGGAGCCGTCCGTGAACTTCTTAATACCTCTTGACGGGTGGGCCCTGATTCTTCATAGCCTGTGTATCTAATTAATGAATGCCCGTGAGACACCTTCAGACCATTAGCCAAGCCCCTTTTCTTTTTTTTTTTTTATTTATTTCTAGGAGAGAGAGAGAGAGAGACAGCGTGAGCAGGGGAGGGTCAGAGAGAGAGGGAGTCACAGACTGAAACAGGCTCCAGGCTCTGAGCTGGCAGTCAGCACAGAGCCCGACGCGGGGCTCGAACCCACGAACCGCGAGATCATGACCTAAGCGAAAGTCGGACGCTTAACCGACTAAGCCACCCAGGCGCCCCAGCCAAGTCCCTTTTCAAGAAGGGCCACCGTCTCCGCTGTAGAACCAAGGCTCACGGAGCGCGAGTGCAGGACGAGAAAGCGATTGGACGTTGGAATTACACCTACCCTCCGGGTTTGGATTCTGGCCCTGCTGCTATTGGTCTACACGACCCGGGCCAGGTTCCCCAGGCCTGCTCGGTCTTTTTCCCTTTGGAACCGGGGAGAAACATCGTTCACATTTGCAGCTGTGGAGTCACTAACCCAGTAAGTAGAGGGGCCCACATTACACGTGGTACCTAGTGGTGTGCACGCAGGGTCCCGGGTGTGAGTGCATTGGCTTTTCCTGCTCATTCAGAAATAGCAGTGCGGGGATTTGGAGGTCTGGGTTTTAGGTCTGGCTCTTCTTCCATGGCCGACTATTGTGACTCTCTTTACCTTGTGGAGAAGCTGCTCAGGAATAAGAAACAAATGTGTTTATGAGCTTTCCTGACACCTCTGGGGCTTTTGAGTCTGTGCCCTGAGATCTGTGAGGGGTTAAGCCACATAGGCTCAAGAGACTCTCAGATACTGACTCTTATCCAAAACCAGCATTTCCCCCCATTCTAGCCATGGCAGTAGACACGAATCATTTGGTAACATTTTTTTCTTCAAAGCTTAGACCCAGAGCTGATCGGCTTGGAAATCACTCAAGACAAGAAGCTCTGGGCAGCTAAGATTTCCAAACAAGATGTCCAACATTTTCTTTTCAAATGACTTCAAACCACTTGTGAATGCACAGAACCCTGCCCCGGAAGATACACAAGCCTAGAGCTGATAATGTGATTTTTTTTTTTTTTTCCTAAAAACGCAGAATGACCACAGTTGGTAAGGAACCCTGCTGCTAATTACTGTGAGAGCATTCCTACCACTCAGGACCACATGAGATTAGAATGATCGTAGACAACCTCCAGAAGTTAATTGGTTTACAGCCCATAGCTCCACACAGCAAGTTAACTTCAGAGCAACTTTTGCAACTAATTCTTATGGGGGGAGGGGGGGTTACTGAGAAGACCTGTTGCTTAACACCAGACGGACCTTTCCAGGGCTAGAGGAGGAACAGAAACATCTGCTTTGAAAGACCACCAGAACTTTCTCCGAAGTAGGAGTGCTCAAACTTTGGCATGCTTTAGACTCACCTTCTAGGGGTGTCTGGGTGGCTCAGTCGGTTGAGTGTCTGACTTCGGCTCAGGTCAGGATCTCATGGTTTGTGAGTTCGAGCCCTGCATCAGGTTCTGCACTGACAGCACGGAGCCCTCTTTTTGTCTTCCTCTCTCTGTCCCTCCCCTGCTTGTGCACACACACACTCTCTCTCTCTCTCGCAAAAATAAAATAAACATTTAAAAAATGTTAAAAAAAAAAAAAAAAAGAATCACCTTCTAAAAATGCGGAGTGCTGGACTCCACTCCCAGTTTCTGATCCAGAGGGCTGGGGATGGGGGGGCTTGAGAATTTGCATTTCCAACAAATTCACAGTTGCTGCTGATTCTGGTGGTCTGGGGACTCCCACTTGGTGACCTATTGGAATCACCTGGAGAGCTTTAAAAAAATACTGGTGGGCAACTCCCACCCCTCTCCTTCCGATGACTGTGATGTCCTTACTTTGGGTTCCTCTCCGGCATCAGGGCTTTTTTTTTTTTTTAACATTTATTTATTTTTGAGAGACAGAGAGAGACAGAGCATAAGTGGGGGAGGGGCAGAAAGAGAAGGAGACACAGAATCCGAAGCAGGTTCCAGGCTCTGAGCTGTCAGCACAGAGCCTGATTAGGAAGTGGAGCTCACCAACTGTGAGAT